CTCTCTCGTCTCCACTCTCTCTCTCTCTCTCTCTCTCTCTCTCTCTCTCTAATTGGAGAAAATTTTTATTTATAATCGAGGCACCGATTCTTTCTAAAGTTTACTTGTAAATTTGTACGCGATGTTGCAATTCCCTGTTACGCAATATCTCCCCGCGTTTATACTATTCTCGCGTTCGTTGATACGTCGAATCCATCGATGGACATTCATCGAGCTCGTAATCATCCGTCCATAAACAGTGCGGTCCCCGGAACACGGATCGAGATATCGATCCTTCCTGTTCGCAGTCGATGCGAGTCGAAATTTCAGTTGCGGAACGCGTGGAGATAGGTCAACCGGAAGTTGCCGATACACTCGACGCATTTCCGACCGTACATATTACTGTTGTCTCTTAGACGGTCCGCTTGCGTCGCAATTTCGTCTCCCGTCCAATTGTAAAAACCGTTGGAACAGATGGAGAATTTTATTTAGTTTCGTTTCGAAATTCAATTATTTTTGTTTTTCCCCTCCTATCGTAGAATTTAATTGAATTCCTTGAATTATTGATCCTCTCGTTTAATCGAATTGAAACCAGAGGTCTGAAGAAAACAATCGGAAACAGATGTAAATATCGATGGAACGAGACGATTTGCCAACGATATTTTGTCCAAGTCAGCGAAAGGTTATCGCTAAGAAGCGCGATGTAAAAAATATCGATGCGAACAATTTTCGGGATCGTTAACGTTTCGAATAATCTCAGCAGCTGTTATATTCTTACACGTAATCCTCGTTTCGCGCCATACGATGAATATCGTCGACCGTAACCGACTTTCATTTCGTGCTAGCCTTATCGATGAAAATCTGATCACTCGACTGGAGGAAAATGTTTCGAGATCTGTTATTTTCGTGGACCGATTTCAACAGTTTGATCCTGCGCCCTTAATGCAATTATTATTTTCTTTTTTTTTTTTCGGCAAAACGGATGGAATGTTTATTCGATATCGGTCGCATAATTGCGATCGAACGTTTAATTGCGTTTAATCGCGCAACTTGAACGGTCCGTTTCGTTCCCTTTGTACACGAGAGTTTTGCCTGCCTCCCTCCCTCCCTGCTACTGCTCTAATTCAATTTACCACGATCGATTTTCCGTTACTACGTCGAGCCTGATTAATAAACGCTTTTACTTTATTCAAAAGGTAACGACGATTCGAGTTTCACGACTCGCATGGAGGACGATTTAAATTCTCAATATCTCTCTGTCACGGGTCGCAAAAATCATCGTGTTTCGATTGATCACAGCAGAATTCGAATTTATCACGTTCTATTCGACTATCATCTACTTGTTTCATCCGTTGAATATTTAATCGGTTGAAAATTTCTCGCCAACTTAGCAAGGATTTCCTCAACGTCACGAAACGAAACGAAACGTCCACTTTACTTTTACCCCTCTTCCTTTCGTAAATATGTGATTGCGACCGAGATACACGAAAGAGTTGCGGGGAAATCTCGTCACACAGACAGGTGGATTAACGTTGAAATTTTAACGTTGAAAATTCTGAGCATTGAAAAAAACCGAAGAAAGATAGAAACGGCTTGCGTTCGTTAACGCGAATAAAGGCCGTGACAAATCAACGGGTGGACGCATCGCATCCGCGATGTATTCAGCCATTTAAGCGCGACAAGAAGGAATTTCCGGTTTCCATTTTCCTGTCACCTCAAAGTGAAATTTCGCTTTTCGTACCTTTTCCAAGATTTCTGAGGGTTTCTGTGCGCTTGACAACCAACCAAACGCTTCCAAAGTGGGTTGTTGTCCAGAAAATCGATCGATGGAGGAAGAACGAGGATTGTCGATCGATTCTGTATTTCCAAATGTTGGCTTTTCCATATTCGGTGCGAACCATGCCGTTACACGAGCCGTTCGTTTTTATATTCTTTTTCGTGCCATCCATCTCTCTGCGTGGTCCTCCTCCGTGTCGATCTAAGGGGATGAAAAATGAGAGAAAACGTTCCAAGTGTATGCAAG